GTGTGTGTATGAACATATGTGTGTGAGAGAATGTGTGTGTAACAGTGTGAGTGTGTATGAATATGTGTGTATGAGAGTGTGTGTATGTGTGTATATATGAGAGTGTGTGTATAATAGTGTATGTATGAGTATGTGTGTGTATGAGAGAGATTGTGTAATAGTGCATGAGTGTATGTATAAATATGTGTGTGTATGAAAGAATGTGTGTTTAACACTGTGAGTATGTATATGTGTGTATGAGAATGTGTGTGTAACAGTGTGAGTGTGTATGACTATGTATGTGTATGAGAGTGTGTGTAAGTGTGTGTAACAGTGTGAGTGTGTATAAGTGTGTGTGTATGAGAGTGTGTGTGAATATGTATGTGTGTATGGGAAAGTGTGTGTGTAAAACAGTGTGTGTATGGGATAGTGTGTGTGTAACAGTGTATGAATGTGTGTATAAATAAATATGTGTGTGTATGAGACAATGTGTGTTTAATAGTGTGTGTATATGAGTATGTGTGTATGAGAGAATGTGTGTCACAGTGTATATGAGTACATGTATATGAAAAAGAGGATTAGTGTGTGTGTAACAGTGTGCATAAGTGCATAGAACAGTGCATATATGAGAGAGTGAGTGGGAGTGTGTGTATGTGCAATCATGTGTGTGGAGCGAATGTTTGACTGGACCCAGTGGGGGACACTTGCCTGGGAAGCTGTAAGAACTGGCCAGTCACCCTGGGTAAGGGACTGGGTCCATTTGGGGGTGGGCTGGGGAGGAAGGCAGATGTTCCCCCAGGCTGGGGTGAGGAGACTGGCATAGAGAGGGGGATGGGCAGGCATCAGAAACCCACTTCCTCCATTTCCCCGGTGAGCTGGCCTGGCTGCTCCAGCCTGGAATTCTGCCTGTCTTGGGAGCGTCCAACCAGCCCTGAGAATGTCAGAATCCCTCCTAGCTTTCACTTCATCTTGGCTCTCACAGCCTTCGCTGCCTCTGGGCAGGGAGAAAGGGGAAATCACTGTGAAGGCCCAGCCTGGCCTGGCCCCTGAGTGACCATGCCCACCCTCTGGGCACTGCCAGGGCCACTGGCTCTATGTCCTTGGGGAGCCCCTGGCCCTGGTCCTGGCCTCTTGTCAGACCAAACAGGACCCTTTGCACCAGCTGGGCAGAAGCCATTGCTGGGAGTGAGTCATCCAGCATTCCCCTCGAAGGCCACAATGAGTAAGACATGAAGTCCCTGAGGTGGCCTCCCATTCCTGGCCTTGGCAGCAGCCAAAGGAGGGGGCAGTGCTGTGGGTGGGCCGGGAGGACTGAGCTTTAGGGCCAGGCTCTGCTGCTGACTCTGTGTGCTCCTCCCCATCTGTAAAGGGAGGGGTTAAACTAGATGACATCAAGGCTTCCTCTCAGGGCCGACATCGGTGCCCCGAGCCAAAGCTGGACGTCAGCTCCACCACTGCCTAGCTGTGGGACCCCAGGCCTGTCCCCTCATACTTCCTGGGCCTCCTCCACTTCTGCCTCTGTCTAGGGAGGGACAGGGCTGGACTAGGCACCCATGGGTCCCTTCTAGCTTGGAATCCCAGAATTCTACAAGGTTCTTGGTGCCATATGCTCTCCTAAATGAAAACTTACACGTTTATGACTAGTGAGAGAAAGCCAAATGAGTGAATGAGGAAACAAGGCAATAAGAGAGTGAATGAGTGACAAGTGAGGAGCGTGGGGGAAGGGTGAATGCACAGAGAGAGGGAAGGAGCCAGGGAACGGCGAGTCTCACCATAGCCAGGCCCACGGAACTGAAGACAAAGACGCTGGCCCGGAGCAAGGTGTCCTCGGAGTACCGCTCAGTCAGCTGCCCGATGACCAGGCCTTGCACCACCTAAGGAAGGGAGATTTGGATCAGCGTGAATGGGGTGGGGGGTTTCAGCCAGTCGAATACCAGGAGCGAGGCATCTACCAAAATGCCAGGGACACTTCCAGTGTGTGTAAGGCCCCTGCTGGGCCAAAGGGCACCAGGCTTCAGTGCCTGCCTCTTCCTGGGCCCGTTCCCCAACTCAGTGACTGTGTGAGAAGGGCCTTCGAGGTTTGCAAGCCCAGGAGCAGACGTGGGATGGGACCCGCACGAGCTCAGGTACAGAGTTCTTGTCCCCTTTCAAGATGCCTGCCTGCCTTGAGGTTCATTCCAGGCTGGGATCATAGAAGGGGAGAATGAGGAAGGGATTTCAAGGCCACTGGTCTGGGCATCAGGGAACCTTGGCTGCCTGAGAGCTGTGGAGGCCCTTCCCCCAAAGAGCTGGCCTTCCCCACTCTGAAGGCAGAGAATGAATGTCCATCTGGGCAGAAATTGGAGAGAGAAAGGGCCACATGAAAACAGGCAGTCATTAATGACAGTAGCTAGCATTTCCATCAGACTTGAAGGTCTGCAAAGTGTCACTTCCTTTGATGCTCACAAAAATCCTGTAAGGTGGGTGCTCTTATTGTCTTCATTTTACAGGTGAGGAAACTGAAGCATAACATAGTTAAGTGACTTGCCCAGAGTAACCTAGCTGCTAAGTGTTCCGGGCAGGATTTGAACTCAGCCCTATCCTCTGCTCCAGCACCCTGTGTCATCTGGCCACCCTCTTCCACCCTGGAGAGGATGCAGTCAAATAGAGACAGCCTGGGGTAGTGGAGACAGTGCTGCACCTGTAGTAAGGAAGACCTGAGTTCAAATCCTGCCTCCTACACTTGCCAACTGTGTAACCAGCCATGTCACAACCTCAGTCTTAGTTCTTAGCCCTTCCTAGGGATGTCTCAAGGACCACATCAGAGACAAAACAAAGCACTGGGTTTGAGATGCCCCATAAAAAGACTTAGATGACTGATACAAAGTGAAGTGAGCAGAACCAGGAGAACACTGTACACAGTGACAGCAACATTGTAACGATGATCTACCGTGAAAGACTCAGCTCTTCTCAGTGATACAATGATTCAAGACAGTCCCAAAGGACTCATGATAAAAAGTGCTATCCCCGTCCAGAGAAAGAACTACGGAGTCTTTTTTTTTTTTTTACACTTTCTTTTTCTTTGCCTGTGTTTTCTTTCATAAATGACTAACATGAAATATGTTTTGCATGATTGCACATGTATAACCTTTATCAAATTACTTGCCTTTTCATCTAAGGGGAGGAGAGGCGGGGAGGGAGAGAATTTGGAATTCAAAATAAAAAAAAAAACAAATGATAAAAATTGTTTTTACATGTAATTAAAAAATAATTTGAAAATAAATTTTAAAAAATAAAATGTTTCATACAGTTTAGTTACCATCATAAATGGATGGGAACTCAACTAATTACCTCCTTTTCACACTAAGGTGTCAAGGACCGATAGCTTAAGATTTGACCTCTGTCAGAGGTATGTACACTTTCAAAGAGGAGCCAGGAGCCAGCAATAAGTTAACTCCTTGGAAATTAGCAGTGGCATTTCAGGTGACCAGGAGCAGGAACAGGGAAGACACCTCTAGGGCAGTCACCCCAGCGGATCTCTGGACATTCCCTAAAGGAGTGACACAGCGGCTTTCGTTCTCCTGGCTGGGGACGGAGAGGCCCTGAAAGGCCTCCCCTGGCTGGGAGATGGTGACTCAGCAGCTTCTGCCATAAAACCAGGGCTGGGGCCCAGCGGTTCAGGGAGGGACCGACCTTTCATGTGTGTTGCAAGATTCGAATTAAAGTGGGAGTTGTCTTTCTCATATCTGTTCCTAGTGGGGTGAGTAACGGTTTCAAATCTGTCTTGGCCTGAGCAGAGCACCCACCTGAAGATAAGGGAGGCTCCAGTGCTCCATGGCTTTACCTTTCCCTGACCTGACTAGGGCCTGGGTTTGGATCTGGCCCTCACTCAACCCTGGCACTGTTGCTCCCCATTGGATGTCCCCGATGTACAATGAGATCCCGCCTAGCTCTGCCATTCTGCTTCTGTGGGTCTCTGCTCTGTCCTGAATCTAGGGAAGACCACTCAGGCCCCATGCTTAGGCACCTAACTCTCTCTGCTCCCCATTCCCAGGTGGGTCCTGAGGGCAGCTTCAACTGCGGACCCCAAAGGATTCATAGAACAATGACAACCCTCTGGCAGTATGGCTCTGGCCCCAGCTAGCTATATGACCTTGGCTGAGTCTCTTCCTTCCTCTAGGGCCTCAATATCCTCCTCTATAAAATGAGAAATTTAGAAGTAATAGTTTGGTAAAGAAAGCACTTGACCTTGAGCATGAGACCTTAGCTTGAGCCTGAGCTCTCCAGGCCTCAGTTTTCTCTTCTATAGAAAATAAGATGACTTTACAAGGTCTTTCTTTTGGGGTCATGAGGAAAATACTCTGTAAACCCTTGTACATTTGCTGTGTAGATCTTTTCCTGGATCCTCATTCAGGTAATGTTCTCTAACTGTAGGTATCCCTCAGGGTGCTGCCCCCTGCTCTTCTCTCTCTCTATAGTACCTCACTGGGTGATCTCATCAGCTCCCATGGATTTAATTACCATCTATCTTTATGCTGATGTTTCTCAAATCTACCTTTCCTGCCCCAAACTCTCTGCTAACCTCCAATCGCAGATCTCCAACTACCTTTCAGACATCTCAAACTAAATGTCCAGTAGACATGTTAAACTTAACATGTCCAAAATGAAACTCATATCCTTCCCCCTAAAACCTCCCGTCCATATCCAACCTGTCAATTTCGCTTCTGCAACATCTTTGGTCGATTTCACCTCGGCAGTATCTCTGGTCCATTTCACCTCTGCTGCACTTCTGGTCCATTTCACCTCTGCTGCACCTCTGGTCCATTTCACCTCTG